ATTTTCCTAACAAGGTATCCTTTTTCATCAGTCATAACTGACTGATTAAAAGAAGTACTGAAATTTAAAAGATAAGTAGAGTTATTGATGTCATCCAATTGTTCCATTTGTTTAATAACAACAGCGACTTGACTAACACCACTAATATTTGGGAACTTTTCATTATAAATTTCATTTGCTTGCCAACCCAAAGAACCTTTTGGTGGACTAACTACCATGGATGTGTGTTTTAAGAATCCAAACACACAATACACCATTCCAAGAGCAACAATAATCCAAAAAACAATAATAATCCACTTCAATTTATTAATCCATTTAAAACAAAAATCGAAAGCGTAAGAAGCCTTTTCACTGAATTTCAGGGCAATAGAGTTAAAGGTCATAATTTTCGATAAATATTGTCAAAAAATAGTTCAATAAAATCAAATATTTTTTAATTTATTTTTGAAATTATAATATTATAGTTTTTTTCTAGGAAAATAATTCTATTAAAAAAATATTCAACCCTTTTAATGTAACTAATTATAGAAAAGTATTTAATTGAATTTGCACAAAATTCTTAACATTCGTTCAACTCCAAATGAAATTCCAATATCAGCAACAATTAATCCAATAATTCGGTACTTTAATTCATCTGATGGGAATGAAACTAATGAGAATAATTCATTAAGTTCTGGTATAATTTCAAAGGAAAGAATGATTGTTAGTCCAAAGACTATTAAAAGACAATACATCAATGGTTTATATTCTGTGATATTCTTTCGATAAGGTTCTCCAACATAATTGACAACAAAAACTGTAACGTTAATAATATTAGACACAATAAAGATAATACTATTAACTAATGTTGGTTTAAATTCAGCATCTTCTTCAGGTATTTTATAATCAGGACCAGCAGCTTCTTTACCCCATTTTAATGCAAGTTGAATAACTATAAAGTGAATAACTACTTGTGAAATTACAGACAATACGTGGAACGGTGCAAATATAGTTTTTGTCGGATGATGTTTACTAAGTTTATCTAATGGTTGAGTATTTGATAACATTAAGAAACATACAGATAATAATATTCCTGTTACAGTCATTTGTACATCACTGTTCTTAACTCCTTCAATTTTTAATACACTTAAATCATATGCACTAATTAAACAATTCAAAGCTAATATTCTAAACATTTGTTGAGTAGTTACTAATGTAGATCTTCCTTGTTTTAATACTGACAAAACTGGTGTAAGTTCAATAGATTTACATGAAAATGGAGAAGCCATAGATGCATCTCCAAACTTAGCAACAGTTGATTCATCATCTGGTAACCCTTCAAATGCTTTTCTTAATTCATTTTTTAAGAACTCACTTCTTTCTTGTGGAGTCATTCTTCTTCTTCTTTCGATTTCTTCAGGGGTGAGAGGTTTAGGAGTAGGTTTGGTTGGCATTGGAATAATTCCCAACTTTATCATTTCTGCTTCTCTCTTTTCTTTTTCATTAGGTAATGTATTTAAAACAGCAATACCTACGTCTGCATGTTTTAATGCTCCAACGTCATTTGTTCCATCTCCACACATTAACACTATATTACCCATTTCTTTTAATAATAATATAATTTCTTCTTTTTGTTGAGGTGTAACACGTGCATATACTTTAGTTTTTGATAGAATCGTTTGAATTATTTCTTTTGAGCATTCTTCTTTTATATGAGCAAGCGCTTCCCCACTAAGACAGATGTATCGATTCATAACTTCTGAACTAACTTGTTTTATATCAAATGGACTAATTTCAAGACCTTCCATATCTGTCCATTCCCATTTTTCTTTTTCTTTAATTAGCATTACCTTATCTTTACTAGTAATTTTTAATTCTTCTGCAACATGAGCAGCAGTAAAAATAGAATCTCCTGTAATCATAACAACATTATGTCCACTTTCTTTTAATTGTTTAATTGTTTCATTACTTTCTTTCTTAATTGGTGATGAGAATAAAATAAATCCACCAAATTCTAAATCAGATTCAATATCATCTCTAATATACTTATTTTTTTCTCCATTAATAACTTTATATCCAAATGCTAATACTCTCATCCCTTGTAATGTAAAGAACCTATTAACATTGTCGTAGTGATGTGGTATTTCTTTAAACATTCCTTTTAACATTTCTGGAGCTCCTTTAACAAATCCCATAATAGTTTTGGTGTTAGTACTAAAATCTTTAATAGCAACAACAACAGACATTCTTTTAAGTAATGAAGAAAATGGGAATCGTTGTATTGGTTGAATTTGTTTATTAGTTTTCTTTAAAGGAGTAAATCTTCCATCAGAAGTTAAATTCCATTTTGAAAATTCTAATGCTGCTTTTTCAGCTGGGTCTCCTATAATACTTCCATCTTTCATTTTAGATAACGAATTACATGCAACAATAACATTAACAATTTCTTGTGGTATTTCATCAACACTACTTCTTAATTTAAATGGATCATCTTTTAATCCAGCAATACCCGCAACTGATACTTCATCAGAAGTGAGGGTTCCTGTTTTATCGAATGCACAAATATCAACAATTCCAGCAAATGGAATTCTAAAAGGTTCAGTACAAAAGATAAATTGTTTCTTTAATGCAATTAAAGAATAGTTAATAGCATTAGTTAATTCCATAGGTAATTCTGGTGGTACAACGTTAGTTATAATTAAAACACATGACAATACTAATTTCCAAAATGATTTTCCTTTGTTAATTCCATCAACAAATACATAACCAGCAGCTATCAATGCAAAAACTAATAAAAATAAAATAACAACTAAGCTTTCTAAATTGTTTGCTGTTTTACGTTCAGTTGAACTTATAATAGTTCTTAATAACTCTCCTTGAGCAGTTTGGAATCCTGTATGAATAACATATCCTAAACACTGTTCGTCTTGAAGTACTTCAGTTCCTCCAAAGATGATATGATGTTTATGAACATTTAAATCAAGAATATCATTTTCTGTATTTGGGTCAATAATTGTTGATAGCGCCTCTCTCATATGTGGTGTACTTTCACCAGTTAATATAGACTCATTTACAACACACATTCCTTTAACAATAACACAATCTGCAATAGCTTTTCCTGTAGTAATAACTAATAGATCTCCAGGATATATATGATCACAATCAACTTGTGTTTTAATTCCATCTCTATAAACTGTATGTGTTGTTGGTTTCATTGCTGCAATAGCTTTAAAATTACCGTAGTTTTTTAATCTGGTTAACGTTGTCATTCCTTCAAAGACAAATAACATAATTAGCATCATAAAAGCAAACATTGGCATATCATCCATCATCCATAAAATACTACAAACAACCTGAAATATGAAAAATGGTTGCATAATTTGTTCTTTATATAAATCCATAAAAGTAGGAACAGGTATTGTACATTTATTTAAACCATAATATTCATCTTTTTCATTAACTTTTAATTTTGTCAAACAACCAGCAGAGTTATATTCTTTTAATGTCATTTTATTAGGATATTCTAATGGATAAAAAAGTCCATCTTCTGTATTGTAAATATATTTTTTAAAATTAAAATAAACATAAGTATAATGTTCTCCTTTTTTAATTGGGCATAATGCTTTTTCTGTTTTATGTTCGAAAAAAACATGAGTAGCTTCACTTATTGATGTAACTTGATTAAAATTAATCTTTACGTTAAAACTAAGTGACCATTCAGTGTTTAAATATAACAGTACATGAATTAATCCGCTAACACATAAAAATACAATAGAAGCTGTTTCAAATGTTCCCTCAATCCAAATACCAAGTCCAGCAGCAATAATATAAACAATAAAAAAAGGATATCCTATTAGAGTTGCTTTAGCTTCTTTTTTAGTATATAACAAAGGAAGCAACCCAGATTCCATTTTTTAATCTGAAAATTGAAAGTTCTTTTATCATCAATGATGAATTCTTTTTTTATTTGTTTCTTATTTTTTCATTAATGATAATAATTTAATAACAAATTTCTTTATTTTTTTAATTTGTTTAAATTTTTATAACATTTTATTAGGGTTTTATTATTTTATAATAATTTTTGTTTTTAAAAAATGTGATTGCAAAAAAAGAGAAAACTAAAAAAAAATGAAAAAATAAAATGAATAGACAATTGATTGGATATGGTACTTTTGGAAAAGTTTATAAATCACAAACGGAAGATGGAGAAATAATAGCTGTTAAGGAGTTTAATAATCAAAGTACAGACAGTGAACTTAGGTTGCAAACTTTTCGAGAAATTAAATTTCTTCAACAACTTCGACATGAAAAAATTATTAAAATAAAAAATTTTATTGTTGAACAGAACACATTGCTCATTATTATGCCATTTATACCAAATGATTTAGAGAAAGAAATTAAAAAGAGGCATTCGGCCACATTATCTTTTGAAGAGTTAATTTCATGGATTACTCCACTTCAACATCAATTTTTTGAAGTATTAAAATATCTTCATTCATTACATATTGTTCACCGTGACATAAAACCATCTAATTTTTTATTAACAGATAAACAACAAATTCAGTTAATTGATTTTGGTAATGCTTATCATTATCATTTTAATGAATTAGTTAAGGCAAATTGTGTCACTCCAAATTATCGCCCACCTGAAGGTGATTTAAATATTTTAGTAAATCCACAAAGTATTGATGTGTTTTCTATAGGATGTGTTCTTTTTGAAATGATATCTGGTGAGTTATTTCTTCAAGTAAATAACAATCAAACAATATTTGATTTTATAAATTCTACTTATTCATTTGATGCAAATGAAATTTTAAGGAATCCTTCAATAACTATTCCAACTACATTGACTGTGTCCCAATCTTTAATAGATTCTTTGATTCCGTACCACACTAAAAATACATATAAATTCTTTAATAAGCTTCTTAACTTAAATCCCAACCTTCGTCCATCAATCGACACTTGTGCAAAATTGATTCTTTTTTGAAAATACAACACCATTCTTGTTTTAAATCTTCCATACGCATATTTATTTCTTAATCTTTTTTAACAATATTTTATTTTTTCACCTTCAGGATTCGAAAGTAGTAACATCAGAGACACCACACAGTTCACTAAAATATTTACATCATTCAGACCCACAACTATGGACTGGTTACGACGTTGCAGTTGGTTAGAAAACATCTTAATCAATATTGCAAGAATAGCAGTGTTTATTATGTACAATAATGTGATATCACTGATAATAAAAGAATGGGTATTTATAAAGATGTTATTATTACTTGTTAGAATACAAGTATATTTGATAATATAAGATTATCAAAGAAAAAGGGTGTGGTGGTTAAGGCTAAAAATAATATTAGCCTAAAGCAAGACAGTAGTAATTAGATATTCTCCTTAAAATAAGAAAATAAAGAATAATTTTAATATTCATCAAAATTAAAAAGAAATTAAATAATAAATATTTAAGTAATAGATGTTTAAAATACTCTATTCCATATCAAAAACAAGAAAATGAAATTGTCATAATTCAACAACTAAAATCAAAGAATAAGCTAGTAATTGATGAACAAATACTTCTAAAGCAAAGGGGCGGGATTATTTAATCTCCGCTGAGCAAGGAACAATAGAAAATATTTCTATTAACACTTAATTATTCCTTTTTATTTATATATTTTTTATAAATTGTTTTTATTGTTGTTATTTAGTATTTTGTTTTTATGTTGAATAAAAATGAAAAATAGATATAAATCATTATTAATGTGTTAATTTTTGATATATTTACATATTATAAATAAATGAAAATATTAAGAAATGAAATAGATATAGAAATATTATATATTTAATTGATTATTATAAATCAAATACAAAATATAATAAAATTATTATTATTATTATCTTATCATTTTATCATTATTTTATATCATATTTATTATCATTATCATTTAATTTGATTAATATAGATATTTATGATGAAAATAAAACAGTCAAATTAAATAAAATTTCAATTCTAGAACTCTTTTTAATACATTTCAAATGTTTAAATAAGTGATTCTAAATATCGTTACAACAAATATTATTTAAAAAAATATTTTGATATTGAAAAATTCTTAAGTTTAATAAACTTTTTTTCGTTTTATTGAAACAGAATAAGTTTAATTACAAGATTAAAATTATTGAAAAATCAATTACAATCATTTGGGGGTTGTTTGAATGAAGAAACAGGCATTTCTTCTTTTATATTATGTGTGTATTCTTCAAAAGTATTTCCTTGAACTTCTAAGTTATCAAAACCCACAGAAGGTAATCTTACAGGAACACTACAACAAGGAACGATATCATCAAGAACAATACCTTCTTCTCCTTCCTCATTGAGAGGAATAGGAGATGATTCTTTTTTCATTATAATTGTATTACCAGTAATTTCTTCACTTTGTTCTTCGTCGAACTCAAAGACTTCTCCTTCTTCTTTTTCTATAGAAGGATGTAAGGACTGCCAAGTACGAACTCGTTTTATTTTTTCAGGTATATGGACATTAGGTATTGTATGAATTTCATTAAAATCATGAATGATATTGTTATATTCTTCTTGGATAGCTTGTCTTTGACAATCAAAAAGATCTTCTTGTTCTAAAACAAATTCTCTAATTCTTTGTTCTTTAGTTTTAAATAACTCATCTATTTTCTTTTGTTTTTTTAATAATAATTGTTTATCTAATTGTTCGTCAATTTTAATTGATTTATTTACTACATTTTCTTCTTCATTCTCCTCATTGTTAGTATGGTTCTTAATATATATCCCAAAGGTTTTACTTAAAGTATATCCTTTTCTTCTTTCTTCATTTTGTTCTAAATTCCTATTAATTATCCCTTCTTTTCCTTTAATACAACACACATCATCTCCACAATTTAAACATTTGTAAACAAGACAACAACTTGTCTGACGAATTGAAACCATTTGAAAATATTGCATATCAATACTACATTCATTTACTAATATAGGAGATTTCCATTCAGACGGAAGAGGAATACTCACACTTTTAGACTCTTCTTTGACTCTTAAAGTAATATTTCCACATAAACATGCATATTTATTCATCATTTTTTATTTGTTCTAGTTCATTTTTTAGTTATCTTCTCTATCTTCTTCGGTTTACTTCTTCTTTCCTTCGGTTTTTTTCTTTTTATTTTACTTTTTGTAGTTACATATTCTATTTTAATTAAATTATTAGTTTATTTAATTATTTCTTCTAAATGTTTTGGTTATGTTTTTCATTTCTTTAAGTTCATTTTATTATATTTCATGATTATGGCTAATTGTTCTATTTTTATTTTCTCTTTAAATAAACTTGAAACACAATTTTAAATTGATTTATAGCACTTACAATTTTGTTTACTTTATAATAAGGTTTTTTCAAATAACTTTTTGGCATTAATACATTCTTGATTCCTTTTTTTAATTTACAAATTCATCTTTTATTTAACTTTCTTCTAATTTAACTTTTTCAATGATCTCAAGAATTTTCAATTATTCTTCATGATATTTTTTATTAGTTCTACTAAAAGTTTTCTATTACTTTTGAATAACTAATTATTTTTAATTAGTTTATTTTTTTCATTTTATCGAATAATTTTAATTATTTTTAATACACAAAGAAAAATAAAATAAACTAATTAAATTACAATAATTAACTTTTAATTTTTTTAATTAAACCAATGCAAAATAATAAATCAATACAAATGAAAACATATAAAGAATAAATTTTATTGTTTATTTCTTTCCTTTTGTTTTAGCCTCTTTTTTTGGTGTAGTTATTTTCTTTTCTATTTTAGTACCTTTTGGTTTCTTTGGTTCTTTTTCTGTTTTTGAAGAACTTTTCTTTATTTCTTTTTTAGTTGTTTCTTTTTTTAATGGCTTTTTATCATCTTTCTTAGCTAATTTTTTTTCTTTTTCTTCTTTTTTAATTTGCTTTTTAATTGGTTTCTTTTTGTCTTCTTCTTCTTCAAGTTCTTCTTCAATATTAGCGACTTTATCTCTTTCAGTAACTACAATTTTAACATCTCCTGGTTTCTTTAAAAATTCAACTATTTCTTCTGCATATTTTTCTTTTGTTTTTTCTTTAGACGCACCACCTAAGCAAAATAATCTGCAGATTTCAATTAAATCAACAAATTTTTGTTTTTCTAAATATTGTTTTTTCTTTTCAAGTAATTCAGTTGTTTCTATTTCAGTATTTCCTTTTAACCCTTTAAATGACATAATATCTTTTTTTCTTTCTTCAACACTTCCTGGTGTACCAAATAAAACTCTATGAATTAAATGTGCTATATCACTTGCTTTCTTAATTCCTTTCATAGTAGAAGCAATTTCTGGAATCTCTTTTAAGGCTTTTCCTTCTCCTTCAATTGTTTCTTTGTCATAACTAGAGTTTTTATATCTAGTAATCGTTTTCTTTTCACGTGGAGATTGTTTTCTTCTTTCAGCTAATGTAGACATTGTTTTGATAAAAACAAGTTATTTATGGATTTTTCTATTTCAGTTCCTTTAAATAATCTAGAAGCCCTGCTTGTTCGTTCTATTAGAACTCTATAGAAGGTTGTTGTTTTTATTTTTATTATTTATTGAATTATCCTTTTTATTATTATCTGTTTTTCTCTTTTCTGAATTAAAAATACATTTTCATTGGAGGCATTTTCATCTGTTCTTTTCTTTCTTTTTGGGTCTTTACCGTTATTAACTGTTTAAAAAATGACGTGGTTATATCAGATTCAATTTTTGTTTATTCTTCATTCAAATAAATCTTAAAAAAAATTTATTTTTAGAAGAATCTTGGATTATTTTTAGACTCGAAAAAGATGAAACTTAAATAAGAGAATTTCATGGAGAAATTGAAAGATAGTTGTGATATCTCTTTGCCTCGAAATGAAAGGGTACAAGACGTTTTTGGTATGCCGTCTGCTCTATCCTTTCCTTTTGATGTTATTTTCAGAGAGCCTAAACCTTCCTCTTTTCAAGTTTGCCCTAAGTGTCAAGCAAAGTATATTGATAAATGTCCGATATGTACTTCATGTGAAATAAAATTTCGTGAGATTAATGTATCTCTTCATTTAAAAAAAAACCCTATCCCATTATTAATTTTTGTCAATGTAGAGAATTGTCATAAAGTTTATGTAGTATATTTCTTTCAATTACTCAGACAATCATTTCCTACAAAAGAGATTGTGATACTGTTTCAATCAGAACATATGACAGTATTAAAAGCCCCACAAAAAGAAGTTATTTTACCAGAAAATGAGTGGGTTATTAATCATAATAGTTATTCATTCAAAGCATCTGAAATGACTGACCATTTCATTGACTCCTTATTTATTCATATGGTTCCTACTACAACAATAGCCTCTCTATTACTTGATATTTGTACTTCTAGTATCAGTCATATTTGTTTATTTACTTCGTTTGCTATTGACTTACCTCAAGATATTTCAAACTATAGAAAAAAATTATATCACTCTTCTTCTTCAATAGATCAATTTGTCTTTAAGATGGATAAATTTACTGCTCTTTCAGTTATATTTTCAAAAGATTCTAATGGTCATTTTTATGCTTATGATCAATATACACTCACCCAATTTCCAAAGGATATACTTCAAGTTATTCAAACTCCTCGATTGTATAATTTAAGACTTGTAACTATTCTGCCTGGATTTGAAGTACAGTCAATGGTACCTAAATCATTTACATATTCATCTGATCAAACTCTAACATTATTTGTAAATTCAGTAAATGATCATGAAGAAAAATATATTCAATGTCAAACCCAATGGTATTATCAGTTAGAAAATGGGGATTGTTGTTTGTGTATTATCAATGAAACATTTAACAGTTCAAATAAAATATTAGAGTTGTATAGAAGTTACCAAGCGTCTGAGTATATTATTAATCTAGCTAAATTTACATTAAGTAAAAGAAATGATATTTTAGAAGATGGAAGAATAAATTTCTTTAAACAGTTAGTTAGGTGTATGTTGAATTATTATGAATTAAATTCGGTCTCACAATTCCCATTTAATCGAGATATATTAGGAAGTTTTTGTTGCCATTTATTAAATTCTCCAGCATTCAGTGGAGATCAATCTGATCTTGATCATAGTGATAAGAATCTTGTTAAATGTTTAATAGAGAGAGAAATGATTATAAAAAAGCCATGGAAAGAGTTAGAATTATATTTTAATCGTGATTTATATTATATAAAAGTTGTTTCTGAAGATTACAAATTAGTTCAAACATTTAATATTCCATATCAAAGTGAAAGGTTTATTGGTCAGTCATGGTTAATAGAACGTAAAGATAATATTGCAACACATTTAATTTTTAAAGAAAGTAAAGATGCATGGAGAATTTTTGGTGATAAATGGTATTTAAGAGATGAGGAATATCTTATTGGAGTATGGAAAGAAATTATGGGTACTAACATTTCTAATGATCCAACATTTTTTGATTCAAAGTTAAGAAAAATGAGATATCACTTTAAAGTAATAGAAGACTATGGAGAATTAATTCCATTTTGTTATGACGGAATGGCAAATTTGTATCGAGATGAAGCATTATTTAAAATTAATTTGTTAAAAAGAATGGATGAAATAAAACGAAGAAATGAAACAACTTATTTATTCCCACATGTTTAAAACTGATAAACATATCTTACAAGATAATTTAATAAATTCAAAGATAAATAGATGTTCTATTAAATAATATTTATGATAAATCATTTAATCTATTTGAGTAAAACAGGAGATGATGTGCTCACTCCAAGTGGTTGTTTTCTTGAAAGACTACCTCGTGATTGATATGCAGCTAATAAACGAGGAGAAGCAGGAGATCTATGAAGTAATAATGAATTTCTTCTTGTTGTTTTCTTTTCTCCAGAATTTGAGCGTAGTCTAAATTGATCATCAGATGGTGATTCAGGTAGAATAGTTGAAGGTTTAACAACAGTTTCACTCATCATAACAATTTCAAGATCTGTTCTTCCTTTTTCTTGAACTAAATCCATTGGAGTTTTTCCCTTCATATTCTTTAGATGACAATCAGCTCCATGTTGAATTAATGCAGAAATAGTTGATCTTCCTGCCTCAATATTATTTAGAGCAATATTAACTGCATAATGTAAGGGAGAATCACCAGCATAATTTTGAATATTAATTATTGCTTCATCTTTACTGGTAAGATAATCAAGAAATTGAAAATGGAATTGTGTGAATTCATGTTGAACTAAATAATGTAAACAAGAGTTTCCTTCTTCATTAGTCATCCCAACATCTACAAAATTACTTTCTTTTATTAAATTTAATAGATCAATTAAATTTGCTTGGCATGCATAATGTAAAGCAGAAAAACCCATTGCATCTTGTAAATATAAACTTGAACCTTTATTATATAAGAATAAAGCAACTGGAATATTTTTAAATACACACGCATAATGTAAAGGTGTCATCATATCAACATCAGTACAATCAATAATTTCAGGATATTTTTTAATAATAGTTTGTACTTCTGTAACACTTCCTTGTTTTGCTTCATTAAACAATTGACTAATTGCAATATCTTCCTTCATTTTCTTATTCATAATACGTTTTCTTTTTAAATACCCTTTTGATGAATATTTAATAACAGCATGTGCAAGTTCCTTAAATTCAGTACTACAATTTTGTTGTAAGTAATTGTCAACATTTTTTATATTATTTTTCCATATAATAATTATTGAATTCATTGAACTTTCCAATTCTTTTTCTTTTATAGGAACAAATGAGAATTTAGTAGGTCTAATTAAACTTATTTTTTCTAAAGCAAATTGAAGTGCTACAGTTTCTTTACTGATAAATTCATTAAGACATTTCATATAAGGTTCATGAGGTAAAGTACCATTTGCAATATTTTGAATAACTTTACAAATTATAATTAATCCTCTCATAATATCGTTATTTGGTTTTTCATTACAAAATCCTGTTTTATGTGGTTGCATAATAGCAGGGCATATAACTCTTAATACTAAAAATCCACTAACACATTGTAATGGTTGAAGAATGGTAGTTTTTTCACATTCTGAGTATAAAGAATAACATAAATATCTATATGATTCAGGCCATAGATTTATTGTATCTATTATTCTTGCAATAAATATTCCTACTATTTCTTTTAATTTAAAAATACTTTCATCAATTGGTCCTATAGCAAAGTCAGGATTTATTTCTAAATTGGTATATTCTCCTTTTAATACTTTAGCCATTGGGTCTTCAAGAAAACTAATAACATATTGGTTTGACATTGTCATTAAAGTATATACTGTTAAACATCTAGAACAAAAAGAATTTCCTCTAAACATTGTACCATTTTCAGACTTTGATATTTCTAGATGAATAAGATAATCTAAAAAATGAAGTGTTTGTTTGTGAGCTTCATAAAATGTTAAAATCTCTTGAATCATTCCTAAAGATTCACAAGACAATTGTTTTGCAATTTCAACCATTAGTCGATAGCCATTATCACCAATAAATAATCTTTGAAACAAATCAATAGAGGCAGTAGTCATATAGGATAATAATAGGTTTGAGGTTCTGATTTTTTAGTTCTTCTTTTTTCTTCTTTTCATAAAATTGCCTGTTTCATAACTCTTTTCAATTCAAAAGATAATGCTAAAAATTTATTAGAAAAAGATAAATTTTGAGCTCATCATTTTATCAAAATTGTAAAATGGTTGCAAAAAGAATGTGATGAGAATAGAATATCGAACTAAAAACTCAACTATTTATAAGTCAAAAAAATTTTTAAATCTCTTTAAAATATAATTAATAACAATAATCTAAGGGGTAAGATATTAGGTGTGGCATTTTCATATCTTCTTATAATTTTATCTAATGTCTGAAAACTGAACATTTAATTAAATTTAATAAAAATTCAAAATAAGAAATTGTCAGTTATTTCAGAAATAGAATACTATAAAATAAGAATAAAAAATAATTTATTAAATTTTTTTGTTTTCACCCGTTTGTAAATACTTTAATAATTATATGTTTTTTATCCTAGCTTCTTTTTATTTTTTATTACTATTCCTCTTTTAAGAGTTGTTTTTACTTTTTTATCTTCCTTATTTAAAATATTATTTTTTACACATCTCCTTATATAAGTGTTTTCGTTATCCATAATACAACAAAAAGATTCTATCCTGATGAGTCATTAATTTTCTTTTTTTTTAATAAAAGTTTATTGATTTTATATAGAATTTTTGATTTTATGTCCAAACAACAAAATATATGGAACTTAAATCCAAGATACTAAAAAGTAACAAAAAAATGAGGAGATTTCCTTAGATTAGAGAGAAAGAATAAAGAAATCTAAATAATTGAAGGAATTATTTATTTATGAAAATAATTGAACAAG